TTATCATTTAAATATTTATGTCAAATACCATAAGAGACAACTTGAAAGAGCTAAGCGACTGAATACCATAGATGTTTGTCATCCAAGAAACGCAGAAGCTGTATAATGTTATATAGGCTTTTTCAACAAGAACTTTGTTCTGTAAATCAAAATAAAACAATAAATTTAGATGACGATGATTCAAATTTTCATTGTATTAAAAAAAGTAAGCAATTATGAATGAAAAATTATATCTGATAAACGTCCACCATGACCACAGTTACAGACGTCGATTCTTTCATCAAAGTTTTTAATCACGTTTTGACAAAATGGTCTATTTTGTTAATCACATTACGAATTTTGACTTTTAAGGCTGCAATCGATTCAATTGGCTCCGTATAGACTCTGTCTTTAACATAACCCCATAAAAAATAATCCAGCGGTGTTAAATCACGTGATCGAGCTGGCCACTTAACGGCTGAATTTCGTAAAATTGTGCGATCGGGAAATTTGATTTGGTCTCGAATATGGGTACATTGGATTGTACTAGGGCCGTCTCTTTAAAGAAGTCACGTTTCCTGCAGCGGACATATTATATGGGTTGACGAATTAAGCGTATCTGTGTTTAATATGAATGGTTTCGTGCTTTTCACTCTTGAGCCACTTGCCCAAGTAAAAAAAAAACAAAACAAGATCAAATTCAATAGAATTCACCGTTTCGATGCTTATCTCGTCCAAAATAGGGTTTCAATTACACGAACCGACAATTGTGACGGTACTAACGCAATTAGCATTGCACATTGATAAATTACTTCCGTTACTTTGCATGTTTGGAGAAAGAGGTGTTGGAAGTTGTGTAGATTTTTAAGCACAATATAATTCCATCAGTATAAAGTATTTCTCCTTCATGAATATTTTCGATTATGTCAGTAGAGCTCTGAACCTTTTATAGTCAAACAAGTGGCATTTAATTTTCTTATCCAAACCATCATAATCATGTGATTATGTGCATGTGCACATTCTAGATTCTAGACATTCTAGAAAACAGATAATTTGCCAAAATCTTTTAGCAGGCGGGTTGGAGTTAACAATACAACTATAATATACCTCCACGTGGAAATGCCACAGCTATCCATTTCCTGTTTCGCATTTTGTATTTGCATATACATATGTATATAATATTTTTATAAGTACGTTATTTTCATTATTTAATTTTTTGACACTTTAAAACCCAAGTTCACATGTATTTCTATTACCAGTTTATCATTCATCGATCATCGAATATGTTATACTAAAAATGCAACATTAAGCGTATTTACTACATTGTTTACTTTATTGGTGGTACGTAAATTGTTCTAATTTATCATATTAACTGAATAACATTTGCATATATCGCGCCATAAAACTATACACATTATCGATTCTTAAGCATCTAGATTTAAAAAAAATCTATTACAAGTCTCTTGTTACAAGGTTGACGTAAACACGGTAATTTGATCAATACATTATTTAGTTGCGACCCACTTGCGAATCAATGGAATCGTTCATTTCGTCTGATTGGACATAAAACAAGGGAGAACATTTCATTTGTAAGTTATTACTATTTACGTCCTTTCTTCAATTAGTAGAATCAAAAGTATCGGAAATTTTTGATCATAGCTCTGCATGGAAATTTGTTATTTCTTTACCCAAATCCCAAAAGTGATTCTTAAAAAGTTTCAGTTTCATCTATATATATTGAAAATGATACTATTTTTATCAGATCTAAAGTTGTAGGTAGTAGTAGTGTATGATTCTTTTTTATGTTTATTGTTCTACTAAGTTATTGTTAAGCTTCATACTTTACCTATTTCTAATTTGAAAAGTCGCATTTGACAGTGTTTGCCCTTTGAAGTGTTGGTGGGCAGGCGGCAGTTAAAATTTATTTATAGAGCCGGCGTCCAGTAAACTTTCACATCTTGCCAATTGTTTTGTAAACAGTTTAGTTGAAAACACATATTTTACCATGTTAGAATTTGAATGCATTTTACCTTGTTAAAATTTGAATAATCCTTTGTGTATTTTCCACGAAACATTATTTAAATGCTTTTATAGTTTTGTTAATATTTCGTTGTTCACAACTTTCCCAATAAATTTAGTCGAATTAGTATGTAAACAGAGGTTGCCTGTACATAATATAATCTTTGTTGGCTTCTTCAGCTTTTCCCAATAACCGCGATCTGGTCAACGGACTGATGGCTAGTTTGCTCGCAGGCCTTTTCCCAATCTGAGCCACCAGTCCGTAACAGCTGTTGTAAGAAAAACTTAGGACTAATTTATCATCAAAGCCTGAAATTGTTTTGACGTAACAATATTCGTGTTATTGGTAGAGAAGAAGTTGGTTCAGCAACCAAAGCGTCTGATATGAGATCACACCAATTCCTGACTCGAAACTCCCATGCTTTGGATAGCAACATCACATCTCGGTGAGAACGAAGCCGTCAAATCGAGAATCAAATGACAATAGCTGTATTATGATGACGCAAGATATGAATAAAAGTATAGCGTATAACATTCCAACCTTATTAGGTAAATCCGGGCGAAATATTATGGTTATGTCGGTACGTAAATATGGGTTAATCCAGTGTTTTCATAATCGAATATTAACTTACAGTACAATCTAGTACAGTGATAAATTCTAAATGAAATTACATAGTTAGATTTCTAGTAAGACGTTCATTAATGCTTATTACATCTTGCTTAATCCTTAAAAACTTGTTTGCTCTGGGCGTCGTCGGTTACGAAATTGACTTCCTTCTATAAAATTCGTAATTGATCGTCTTGGCTCTAGTTACGATTCTCTTAAATACGTTGCTAAATGCGGGACACTCATGCCAATTATTAGTGTATAGGTTGAGTTTAAATTGTTTCTTGATTTGCAAACCAGCGATTCTGCTCATGAAACTGAACAATTTTCCTTGAGGACCACTGCGATATCCAAAAATTTTGAAATGCTTTTGTTTAAATTACGACTCGCGATTTTGACTATGTCGTCCACCCATCTCAATGCAGGATGTCTCACTTCCACCACTTTTTGGCTACCATTCAGTTGTTGCTTCACTCTATCTGTCATCACCACGACTCGCAATGTCTTGCCAAGCTCCTTTCTACTTCGTTATACGATCCCTTATGTCCTGTTCTCCTGTACCTTAATTCGTTTTTGAGTTTCGGAATTCGGAACTCGGTCTATGACTCGCTCCATGGCTCTCTGTGTTTTATTCTATTCAAACTATACCCTACCCTAAAAGTCGTATATGATCCCTCAAATTAAATATCGTGGTTGAACCCCATCGGTTGTACAGTTTGTTTTGTGCCGCTTGTCAAACAACACAAGGAAATGTAAACTGTTAATATGTATTTCTGTTGCCGGTTACTATTTTTAGAGTTTAAAAAGGAGGTTATCATTTTTAAATTACTCGTCCATTTGTAAATATATGAATGATTGATAAACCTAGAAATAACGCTAGAATTAAACCAATTGAAATGCAAAATGAAGATAATGAAGTATTTAGTAAAAATGTGAATAATTGAATAAGAAACATTTAGTAAAAATAGGCTAATTTAGTTAAATCGAAGAATTCAGGTGTTTACTATAAGTTACAAATAATTTATAAAGATAACATATTAGAGTCTGTTTAAATATTTTGAAATATATAATTTCAAAATTCGATCCGTATCAATTGCATTTGCATGCAATATAGTAAGCACATGTTCGATGTGTGCCTTATAAGTAAATGTAGCGTAACGATTAGATTAACGAATCGATTAACGATTCCTTTCGATTACTGTAATAAATATAAAGTCTGTAAACATATAAAGTCTGTATTATTATTAAGAATTGTTGCATTTTTTTTAACCGACTTCAAAAAAGGAGGAGGTTCTCAATTCGACTGTATGTTCTCTTTTTTTTGTATGTATGTTACGGGATAACTCCGGTATTTGTGAACCGATTTTCATGATTCTTTTTTTGTTGGAAAGGGGGTACTTCCATAGTGGTCCCATTTCATCTTGAAGGAAATCATCCACCTCTAAGGGTGGCTGTTCACGCATGAAGATTCATTTTTATAAATAGCGCCTAACTTTAATTTAGGAGCAATTACTTTTAGCAAATATTTAGTTGATTTTGCTATTTCTCCAATTCAAGGCGTATTTCCCTCGATATACTTTGAGTAGTGTCGTAGTGAGAACCTATTTTTATTATCTCCAGTATCAAGTCCTGTATAGTGGTGAACTAGGGGATATTCCAATAAAACTTAGCAAATAGACGTAATTCCACGTACTTTTGAGGTCGGTTTTTTTAGTACTCTGTACTGATTATATAAAACTTATTTGCAAAAAGAATCGTTTAAATTTAAAAAGTAATGTATTGCGTGAAACATAGGATATGTAATATATAGATGTCAGTATTTTACTTAACTTTTTTTAACTACTTTATTTAACATATTTTTACACAGTGAATATATTTTAAAATTCGCACTTAAGAGCGAACTTTAAAATATTTCGATTTATTTGATTTAATATTTGGTTTAATATTTCGATAAACAATAATCGTCGTATAACTTTAAGTAGCCTAGTTTTTATTTCGTAAAACTGATATTGTTGTATGTTTTTAACCCATAAACATAAATGCATCCCATCATAAACGAACTAAGGACTCGGTACCTGTGATGTATTAACTTACTATATGTCAATGCGTGCATTTGTATGTATTACATGCTTGTCTGGGGATGAAGGTTCTCAAGATAGGATTTTTTTTAATCCTATTGTATCACGACAATAATACATTATTTAAGTTTTAAGATAAAATATTCTGCATATCGCTTTTGACTTTGTAATTACAATTTTAACTCGTTTAATGGCATAAAACTTCGATTTTTAATGCGGACTCAGTCACTGGATGTATAATTGAAAACTTACTATAAAGTACAAACAAACAAAAATTAAGATTACACTAACAAAAGAGCATTATAATTTTAACTTACCACCAATTCCCTAAAACGGCTTGAACAAGTAGCAGAAGTGAACAGAAAACTTTCCAAAGAAGCTTCATGCTGCCAGTCACCGATCCTCCACTACAAATAAGTTAAACACTTCACAACACCGCAGAATCCCAAATACCGGAACCGCAAAACTCAAATTGTAACCGAAACAATAACCACATAACCGAATATTAACACAACAGAGTAATCACAAAACATTTTCAAAAGTGCAAAACCGAAAAAACTAAGAAAAAACTTTCAAAACAAACTTTCTACAAAGTTTGAAAACCACTGTTTTAAAAAACAAAAAACTCATATCATTCAATTATTGTTCTGAAATCGAAACAGGATTTAGTTTTCGAAAAGATTCTTTTTCGATCGGAAAAAAGAACGAGTCAGTCGCGGCGCGCCTGCGATCCACGCGCTTTGAAAGACAAAACCAGACTGGCTTGGTGTAAGCCGTTTGAAGTATTCCATAGGATTCGCAGGGGAAGGGTCGGTGTAGGGCGTAGATGCAACAGTGCACGAGTTCATCCTTAGAGGCCCTTACCACGGATTACTATAAACAACCTCGCAACGACGCACTTCGCAACAATTTTTAAAACATTTCTTATTTTGAATCCCAATCCCATAATATGTAGGTGTACACTTGATCGAGGGTTCATAGTAAAGATAAAAACAAAAAATATAGAGACATCTACTTATCCGCAACCATCAATATTGTAGGCTTATGCCGTCTCAAAGTCGGTAATGCGCAAAAATATTATCTTTAATTTTGAAATGGATTTGATCGAAAGTGGTTTAAAGGAGTCGATACTTACTAATAAATGTTTTATGAAATTGAATTTATTACGAAAATCTGTAATTTAAGAGCGTGAGTTTTACAATGGCATTAAATCTTGGCAAATAAGGTTGAGCGATGCTAATTTTAGTTTATGAGATTTATCTTAAGCATTTGATAAGATTACATATAAAATTGCTGTGGAATTTACGTTTCCTTTAGAGTCATGAATAAATAACAATTAACGTTTATCTATCTATAAATCTGAGACCGATTATGCGTAATTTAAATGCTCGAAAAGCATATTGTTTTAATATTAAACCGTGGAGTACGTCAAGGTAAAGTCTTGAGACTTTAATTCATGACCTTAATTCATAACCCATGTAAGTAATTAATAATTATAGTATAATTTTTCAAGTTATTATAATGTATCAATGATAGTGTTTTACCAATTTTGTATTTATCTGTCTATAATTTTAGCAACCTCGGTAATAAATTCAAATAATCTGGTGATCGCATACACGTTAATGGTTTAATGATTGCAAGAAAAGAATCTGAATTCCCATAACAAAATCAATTTCGCACAAAGGCGCTAACATCCAAATTTCTCCATCAATAACTCTAAAAAACTAATTTTAGAAGCATTGTTGTCTGGTGCATAAAAAACCCCATGGAGGGGTAAAAAACAACAATGGGGTATACCTGTCGGCCATTTTGCTCCCCATGTTTATGGCTGCAGTAAAACTGTAATTGCGGCAGATCAAACGAACCGACAGACCGACAACTTAACTATTTACTTATATACATGATGTATCACATAAACAGTAATTACATCAGAATGCCCGAAAGGTAAGGCTAATGCGCATCTGGTTTGATCTTAATTTTGATGAGATTATCTTCAGTTACGCTAGTCTATTTCTGATTTTTCAGATGTTATTAAAATTAATAATTAAAAAACAGATGCAAAGTATCCTAAATACATTATTAAACTAAATTTAGAATTTAAAAGTTATTTCTTCATTTTGTTGTGCTTTTTAAAACTGTCAGGATTTTAGCGATTTTCAAGTCATACCATACAACACTCTACATTGTCAGAAACACCCTATACAAAATAATGGTATCCTTAACGATGACGTTGAAAGTTTACATTTGAGACTTAAACGGGAAGACATTAAGGATGCATATAATTGTACAAGACGTATAATCAAAGTTTGTTTAGAACATCTGCTTGGCATTTCATATTGAGGTGTAAAATTAGTGCCGTAATGGAGGATAGGTACAGAATTGGAGTTTGAGAATTTGTAACTTTGTGGCTTTATGGAATAACTTTCATTTTATTAAACAAAAATAGCCCTTATTTACTATTTTTAAAGTATCAATTAACAAACTCAGAATTATAACTAAAGATTATAACTAGTTGACATATTTCTTAATGCGTACAGCCTGGAAACGGAATAAGCTGTCCGCAGCTGTATTTTCATGTACATAATAAGCCAGATATTTTCAAAGATAGAATTAATGGCTATTCTATTTATTAGTATCTCCTATTAGCTTGTTCCTTTGTCGAACTTATTTTAACAGTCTCGATTTAAGTGTAGAGCGAACTACATTAATCTACTTCCAACGTTTTCATATTTATTTAACGTTACCTGGTGGGCACCACTTCTTCTACGAAGAGTAAGTACTTCGAGTAGCCTTCATACCCTATTTCACCTTCCTTAAGAGTTGTTTTTGTGGAAAAAAGTAACCTGTCTTTGTATTCATTCAGAAGGAGGCCGGTAACAGCATGTATAGGCTCTCCACCAGGTTAAGGACTAGATGGCTCTCCCAGACTATGAGATATGCCCAGTACTCAATTCTGGAACATCCTGTTCTGGGAATGACTTCTAATGTCATGCTACAACACACAAAACTCCAAGAAACTCTACCAGGTAGAAGGAAGGAAGATACCCTTCTTTGGTATACCGATGAGTCCAAGATGGGACCCAACGTAGGCTGTGGTATACACGGCGTGAGACCTAGACTCAGCTACAAGCTGAACATAGGACGTCACTCCTCTATCTTTCAGGCCGAAATATACGCCATAATTGCTTGTGCGGATCTGAACCTGAAGTGAGGCTACGTTAACAATTATGTTTATATAAACTCAGATAGTCAAGCCGCTCTGCATGCACTAACCTCAGTCACCCAAACTTCGAGGATTGTAGAGAACTGCGTAACTATACTGAATACTCTCGGGGAGTCACTCTGACTTTCTGACATCGAGGGTAATGAAGCAGCGAATGAACTGGCAAAGGCTGGTGCTAGGAAGGCCTTCATTGGTCCTGAGCCCTTTATAGAAATAGCACGCAGCCTGGCAAAGCTCACTTTGCTGAACGAAAGCTCCCACGTCTCCCGAGACGTGTGGCTGCAGACTAAGTGTCTTGAGCATTCTAAAGCCCTGATAGCTGCCTTCAGTGCCAAATACTGTAAAGAAGCTCTGTCACTGGACAGGAATGGCATCAGAATGCTGACTAGAGCCTTAACAGGCCATTGTCGCTTGAATAAGCACATGACAAATATTGGATAGAGAGAAAACAGAGAATGCAGATTCTGCCACGAGGCTCTGATGGGCGTGAGAAGTTCCATACTGGGTAGGCACAGGCCACACCCAGAGGACATAAAGACTGTCGGAGCCAGGAAAGTCCGTCAGTTCCTTTATGCTGTTGGTCTTGGCTCCGAGCTGTGATTAGTGGTGATCACAATAGACCATTTATGATCGCAGTGATGAGAGGCCTCATAGGCCCCAAATGAAGCCACCCTAATAATAATAATAATAATAACCTGTCTTTGTCCTAGGTCCCATCTATTGTTATACTAAAATTCATCAAATTAGGTTCAACGCTTTAGACGTGTAGTGGTGACAAGCAAGTTACTATTACATTTATAATATAAGTTTGGATTATCACCTAACAACAGAATGTTATATCCAATTGGTGTCATATTTGTATGCCTACTGTTTAGCCGGACACAGTGAAACTATACGTATTTTGTACATGTCAGCTTCTATATAACCTGTGTTTCCACAAATAAATGAATTATTATTATTATTAATGATTACCTTAATGGTCTAAATCTAGAAACACATTGCCAGCATCTGCAAAAATCCTATCAGACACTTTCATTGTAAGACTAAAAAACCATGTCTTTTTAATGATAACAAGTAATGGGACGAACAAGTCTTGCACCTTGTAGTAAACGACATGCCGGTTCAACAGTTGCAGTGTCAATCAGAGCTTTAAATCGCGAAATTTAGTAGCAGTAGAGCCTTATGAAAGAGTTCGTCCAGGAAAGTGCTGCCACCTTACCCATTTCTGCCGTTAAGCAGTAAAGTTAGCATTACTGTGTTTCAGTTTTGAAAGGTAAACGGGTGTTGGTGAAATTACAGCCCCCATGTGGCCATTTGTGAACTTATGTCTCAGGGTGGCGGGCGCAGAGGTGGTGCCCCTCAGATCTTTGCCATTTAAAGCAAAGTAACGTTCAATTTTCAATAGAGAATATCCCTAGGTGAACCACGGGAATAAATGATTGACCATGGTCCACCCAGGTGGACATAGG